CTACATTTAGCCCCATCTAATATATATACATCATATATATGTTTAGCCCCATCTAATATATACACATCATATATATGTAACGTCATACATAGTGTATTTTAATGTTAATATAAGTACATATATTAATCTTAAAATACACTTAGAATGACATTACCTATATATGTTATATATATATTATATATATAATACATCTATATATATTTTATATTTATATATACATGTATAATTACAATAGTAAATAAATAAAATAAAATAAATAAATAAAATATTTTTTTTAATTTAAATAAATTATATATACATGTAATCTCATTCTAACTGTATTTTGTTATTAATACATATATATTGGTAACAAAATACACTTAGAATGACATTCTATATATATCTATCTATATATAAAATACAAATAACTGCAAATATAAATATATAGATAAATATATATAATTACATAAATAACTAAGTGTACACGTAGAATTTAAATACCTATAAATGCATATATATTAAAATTCTACGTGTATATTTAAGTAATATTTAACATAATTATGTAATTTGACTAATTTAAATTTGATTGACATGCCTGACAACACATGGAGAAAGTGCAGAGAATTTAATTCGCAAGCACTATATTTGACCCTGTAACTCTCCAAGACTCCATAAAACCTGTACATAGGAGGTACGGTTTTACTCGGGAGACTTCGCTGAACTCAAATATTAGTGTTTCAAACTGGTACATTGTATTACAACGATGATATTTTAAGTAAAAGTGACGTTTTTTGCATTTTTTACAAACGAACGGCACTTTTGTGGACTATATTATTGTTGTAATATGTTTTACTGTTTTAAAACACTAATATTTGTGTTTAGTGAAGTCTCCCGAGAATAAAAGTACCCCCCATGTACAGGTTTAATGGTGTTTTGGAAAGTTAGAGAGTCACATATAAGGCTTGCATTTCATTTTTTTTACATTGAAATTTGCCAGATTGGTTATGTTGCCTTTGAGAGTGTATGGTAGCCCAGGAATGAGAATTACCCCCATAATGGCATACCATTTGCAAAAGTAGACAACCCAAGGTATTGCAAGTGGCCAAATATTATTTTTTTGCTTTTTTCACACAAAAACAAATATGAACGCTAACTTTGGCCAGTGTTTGTGACTAAGTGGCTACTAAAAAAGACTAAACATACCCCACTGCAAAAAAATGCACATATTTGTAATCAGCGATGTCTCACGAGTACAACAGTAGCCCCCATTAACAGGTTTTATGGAGTTTTGGAAAGTTACAGGGTCAAATATAGAATGTTCCATTTTCAAATTGAAATTTGCCAGATTAGTAATGTTACCTTTGAGACGGTGTGGTAGCCCATGAATGAGAATTACCCCCATAATGGCATACCATTTGCAAAAGTAGACAACCCAAGGTATTGCAAATGGGGTATGTCCAGTCATTTTTAGTAGCCACTTAGTCACAAACACTGACCAAATATTAGTTTTTTGCTTTTTCACACAAAAACAAATATGAACGCTAACTTTGGCCAGTGTTTGTGACTAAGTGGCTACTAAAAAAGACTAAACATACCCCACGTTCAATACCTTGGGTTGTCTACTTTTTCAAATGGTATGCCATTATGGGGGTAATTTTCATTCCTGGGCTACCACACCGTCTCAAAGGTAACATTACTAATCTAGCAAATTTCAGTTTGAAAATGGAATGTTCTATATTTGACCCTGTAACTTTCCAAAACACCATAAAACCTTTTAATGGGGGGTACTGTTGTACTCGTGAGACATCGCTGATTACAAATATGTGCATTGTTTTGCAGTAAAACTTAACAGTATTATGACATTCACAGCTAAAATGTCAGACGGAAATACAAATTTATGAATAGTTAATGATAAATTAAAGCCCTGTTTCTCCTGAACAAAATGATATACAATAAGTGTGGGTGCACTTAATGTGACAGCGGTGAATTACGGGTGAACAGACATATAGCACAAATTCCAGTTTTTGTTTAAGTTTTTTTTTATCAGAACGTGCACTATTGACTCCATCCTGAAGGGGTTAAAGTTACCTATATATAATGAGGATTTGTGCGTGGGGAGGCTGTCATCAAAAAACGCTGTTCCAAGAGTATACAAAGGAGTTCCTCCAACTCCCATAAGCAGCTGACCCAGAATGAAGACATAAAGGAAATTCGAGAGTGAAGATTGGTTGTCATTTGTACAATCTGCATGAGTGCTGTTGGTTCCCAAGATTTCACAGGATTCTGCAAGATAAAACCATTGTTCAATTGTAAATGTTATAAAGGTGCAAATGTCACTATCTGTCTGTCTCTGTATCTCTACCTATTATCCCTACCTTACTGTAACTTTTAACTATTTTTTTAGTAGACCCCCATCTGCTGCTCATGGGTGGGGGCTTTGGAGGATATGGATCTCCCTTCTGTTTTGTTTCTTTAATTGCCCATACAATCTTGCAATTGGTGAGGGTGGGGGTGGATAGTGATCTCTCCACCCGCTATCAATTAAGATTCAGCTGCTATCTGATGCCCAAGGTCGGTGGCATAGGAAGGACATGTGCCAAGTCCCCCATGTATTTCATTAAAGACTTGTTTTTCATTATTGTGACACAGTTTAGGATACATGCTCCACCCGCAGCATGGTGAGAGGTGGCATGTCTACTAAATATGGGGGTCATTTTGACTTTTCTGACAAAGTTGGAAAGAATTTTCAGTTTGGCCAATTATTTTTCCTAAATTGTAAATGTCATTGGTCAGTTCTGCAGTAATTCTTGGTTTAATGAATGAACCTAAATAAGTGGAAGTTGGAACAAGGACTAGATATCCAAAGAACATACATGAAGTCTGTGTAAGGAAATTTCTGTATATGGCTATGCACGTACAAGGAATATATTTCTATACCCTTGGTACAAAGCACAAATGCAATGTTACTCTATGTTTTTATTCTACTCTGCATACCACATTGGCTTACTCCCTAAATGAGAGGAATATGGAGAGTGAATAGTAGCTGGAATAGTAAGGTAACCAGATTAAAATCAAAATGTAGAAGGAGGTTTTTAAAGGAATTCAATTTATACTGGCTCAGCTATGAGTATCGGCTCTATTCATTGAAAATAATACACAACATTGTGCTTTCTTTGTTTGTTCTACTCTACCTAACACTTTTAGTTTGAACTATCATAATGGATTACCAGACAATAGTGAAGAACCAAACTGAGGTTAATAGTCTGAAACAACTGAGAACAATATGAGATATTTTCCTTTTTATTGTAGTAAACAAAGTCCAAATCTAGTAGTATAACCTTTCAAAGCATATTCAAGAACAGGGTAAAACCGTTCTGCCAAATCTCTCCGCTTATTGTTCCAGATGATATCAGATCAGTAACAGGTTATTTAGTTTTGTGATTTACAATTACAATGCATTCCTTTCCAGTAATGATGTAGGCCATGGAAACTAAGGGAATAATAACCAATTCAGACTTTACAAAGTTAACTAACAACATTTTCGAACCTTTGAGAGCCTGGATTTGTGTGCCTCCCTCTGTCTTTACCTGCCTCCCAACATGATACGCCGATTCCCATCCATTCGTTCCTCACCTCCCCCTACATGCTATTTCCTTGATTATTCTCCTCCTTTGCACCCCACATTACTCTCCGTACAGTCCTCTTTCCTTCCACTTTTGCAAGATGAGCTCAGCTTGCTGCTTGTGAACACGGACACTGCACAAATGTGTGATGTAGAGTTCAGTGGTCTAACACTACTTATACTTGAGACACATATGGGACCACAGCCAGGACGAGAATGGCACTATGAAATTATGGGGAAGATTGGCCACGATCATGGAGAACCCGGCCCACTAAACACTAAATGGAAAAGAAGGGTTGGAGCAACACTTTAAAGAAAATATCACCATTAAATTTGTTTCCATATTCATATGCTCCAATGCAGAAGTGAGGCGAAGAAAATATGAGTGCTCCTAGTCCAATCATGAATGCTGAAAATGCAAGCCATCTTGGTTTATGCCCTCTTTCTCCATAAAAAGACACAAAAAGCGAGAAAAGGCAAAATGTTATATCATAACTTGCAGCAATTAATCCAGTCAGGGAACTGCTTAGACCGTAACGTCTCTCTATAGTGGAAATAACAATATTTACCAAACCATTTACGAGAATACCTGGAAAAGAGAAGAAAGTAACATTACCTAATACGTTTACATTTTAATTATTTTGCAATTAATAAAAGTTTTCTTTGTATTTTTTTTAAATATTATAATCTCACATAAGGGTACAACATTAGGAAGCTGTTGTGTTTAGTAGATGGCTCCCAAAGGTGGTACCCTTAAAATGGTAATCCCACACAAGGGCACCAAATAAGGGAGCAATCTACTAAAAAAGCTCACTAATTTGGTACCCATAAAATGGTAATCCCACACAAGGGCACCAAATAAGAGAGCAATCTACTAAAAAAGCTCACTAATTTGGTACCCTTAAAATGGTAATCCCACACAAGGGCACCAAATAAGGGAGCAATCTACTAAAAAAAGATCACTAATTTGGTACCCATAAAATGGTAATCCCACACAAGGGCACCAAATAAGGGAGCAATCTACTAAAAAAGATCACTAATTTGGTACCCTTAAAATGGTAATCCCGCACAAGGACACCAAATAAGGGAGCAATCTACTAAAAAAGCTCATTAATTTGGTACCCATAAAATGGTAATCCCACACAAGGGCACCAAATAAGGGAGCAATCTACTAAAAAAGCTCACTAATTTAGTACCCATAAAATGGTAATCCCACACAAGGGCACCAAATAAGGGAGCAATCTACTAAAAAGCTCATTAATTTGGTACCCATAAAATGGTAATCCCGCACAAGGGCACCAAATAAAGGGAGCAATCTACTAAAAAAGCTCACTAATTTGGTACCCATAAAATGGTAATCCCACACAAGGGCACCAAATAAAGGGAGCAATCTACTAAAAAAGCTCACTAATTTGGTACCCTTAAAATGGTAATCCCGCACAAGGACACCAAATAAGGGAGCAATCTACTAAAAAAGCTCATTAATTTGGTACCCATAAAATGGTAATCCCACACAAGGGCACCAAATAAGGGAGCAATCTACTAAAAAAGCTCACTAATTTGGTAACGTTAAATATGATAATCCCACGTAAGATTACCATACTGAAGGGTACCAAATTAGGAGTATATAGCTCCCTAATGTGGTATCCTTAAAAATGGTATTCCCACATAAGGGCACCAAATTAGATAGCTATCTGCTAAACAGCTCACTAATTGGTACCCTTAAATATGATAATCACAATTTAAGGAGCTGTTGTGTTTAGTAGATGGCTCCCTAATTTGTATCCGTAAAATAGCAATTCCACATACACATAAACTACAAACACAATAGGTGGAGCAAATTATATACTTTCCTCTCTTCTCAATTGGTCCATCAATGCTGCAAAGACAGAGAGGTACACAATAGTGCAGATAACTCACAACTATATTTAAAATAATGTTATATATAGGAATGCACTCACAAGAGTAAAGCCATAAAAATGACCTGGCTCTGGTATGGATGGCTTTAGGATCTATACGGGTGATCCAATTCCACATACAGGTGCAAATTATGGATCAATCTACTAAACAGTTGAAAGAGCAATCTTACGAAAAGCCCTTTTTCGTAATATTGCTCTCACAGTTCCTTAGTAACCCTAATCTGGTATCCTTATATGGAAATCCCAATATGGCAATTCCACATTAGGATACCAAATTAGGGAGCTTTCTACTGAACAGCTAAAATAGTAAAAAAAAATATTTAAAAAGCAGTTTTCCTTTATTTTGCTGTTTCACTTGCATTGTAGATAAGTCTCTAATTTGCTATCCTTATTAAAACAAAAGGATCCAAGTTTATTCTCCGTAAAAATACACTGCAACATGCTTTAAATTTTACACATAATCACTATTCAAATAAGCATATTGTAGTCAAGCTACTGTACTATAAACCAAGCAAATTTTTCTTCTTGTCATTGTGAAGCTCAAGTCATAATCTTGTTTACCTAAGTTTAAAAAAAGGATTTTCTTTACTGCCATGTGATTAAGCATGAATACAATTCAGATGGCACTAGCTGTTGTGGCAGTGCCAATCTGCAGGAATGATCTTTGCACAAAAAAATAAAGAATTAAAAAAAATAAAAATAAAGGATCCATAATATTTTGTTTGGATTTAGTTCTGAATTCATTCATTTTCGGTTAGTTTTGGTTTTTAAAGAATTCTGAAATTCAGACTCTTCCAAATTGACAAATGTGGATGAATTTGGACAATCAGAACTAAACAAATTGCACATTTCTAAATTACACATGCTGTAAATCGAATATAATGAACTACTTCACTAACAAACTATTTTTGCTGACATAACACTAATATGAAACATACTGCATGGATAGCACAAATGAACAAAAAATAAATAAATAAAACAGCACTGTGTGTTGAGATTGCTGTTCAAAAAAAAACAACTTTCCTTTTTCGTTTATTCGTTCATGATTTCTAGAAAGGCTGGAGGAATGAAAAGCTATATAGTATGCAGTATCACCTATCTTGCAATAAAAGATCAGTATTAGGGGAGTGTCCTGCAACTCAATGTGAACAGACGCAGATCCAGGGAGCTCCTGAAAGCTGATCCAAACAAAGCAATTTTCAGCCAAATTTGATCAAAAAAGGGCAACAAAAAGAAACCTCCAGCACCTCAAGAACACCTAGACCCAGCTCTACCAAAAAAGTGGGGGAATTAGACAAAGTTAAATCCTTGTCCGTGGACGCAGATGACAACATGGTGTCGCAAACCGGGTCCAGCAACTCTCCTCCGAGAAGCCCAGCTCTCTCAGACCATTCTTCACTGTCGAGAGAACAGGAGATATGAGAAATCCTTCAGAACCTTCCGTCCTGATCAGATCTGGCAACCATGCTGACAAAACTTGAAACAGCAATGCAGCCACAAATCTCTTCTCTGGGGGCAGACATCCGCCACGTGGGTGCACGAGTGGACCTCGAGGAGGAAAGGGAGGACATACAACAAAGGCTTAGTGCTGTGGAGACTAAACAAGAAGATATGGACTCTAAACTTACTTCAGCAGTACGCAACATGGAGTGTCTGGAGAGCAGGAGCCGTCGCAATAACCTGCGGATCAGAGGGTTACAAAAAGCAAACAAGGTATGTGAACACAACCCCAGTGAGAAAGGTGTATAATTTTAAGTAGACCGGAACTTCCCTGTGTCAGGTGAAGTATCCAGATAGGTCCCCAAAGACTTCCTCCTGTCTTCAACAGAATACGTACAAATAGAATAGGGGATAATCTGCCTAATAGAGAATGAATAAAATAACATAGCGTTTAACTGTGTGAGAGTAAGTAACAATATGTTAGTTACAATTGGCCACTCACAAATTCCCAGAAGTAAAGCAGCCTTAAGTAAAATTTCTCCTCCAATGTCCACTGTATTTTCTCATCTTCACACTCCCATCAATAGGTTGGAATATGATCAGAGGGTTACCAGATGCTCCTGACTCCACAGAAAATCTACAGCGGAAATTACAAGCCCTGTTTAACTCAATCCTATAGTGCTCACCAGACACTCCAATTACCCTGGACTTTGCACATAGGGTCTTACGTCCTAAAGGAATAGCTCAAGAAGCCCCCAGAGACGTTATATGTAGGCTTCACTATTATGCAGAAAAATAACTTATATTAACCTCATCTAAAGACTCACCAGCTCTAAAAGTGGATGAGACAATCATACAGATCTTTCCAGACCTGTCATGGATGATGCTACAAGGCCGCAGGGCTCTGCGACCTATTACTCAAATTCTTCATGACTGTAAAATTAAATATCGCTGGTGATACCCATTCTTCCGCACAGTCCTACAGAATGGCAAACCAATATCCATTAAAACAGCTGCTGATGTGAATTTTTGGAAACCCTACTTATATCCCAGGTGGACGTCCCGGATTGGTACAATGCTACACCAGCTATGGCACTTCTGCAGAGGCCTAAGTGGCAATCGTTGGTGGGAAAGAAATGACCCACACCACGACAAACATTGCAACTGCCCCACTCACGGGCACGACATGACCAAGCAACAACATGAGCTGGGTCTTCATCTAAGTTATCTCGTCTTTGATATGGGGAAGGGGTAAATATTTCTACTTACACATAGTTGGCGCACCCCTCGTCCCCCCCTCCCCAAGTATGAGCAATGCTGATAGTTACAAATGTACCTAATTGAGTTGTACATGCTTGGGATCTGAAGTGTTTATTTTACTTCCCATGTGATGGAGATGGATAAGACACATTTCCCACCGACTCGATTGCCCGAACCCAAATTATTGGTTACAATCCGCCCACATCCAGATTATACTGCTTAAACAGCTACAAAATACAATTAATACCAGATCAGTAGCCAGGAGCGGATTTTGTTTTCATTATATTCCCAAGAATGTTCTGACACTTCATCTTTCACTATTCAAGAGCCTCTTAAGACTAATTGAATGCACTAGATTGTGCAAATGCAGACACTTTCCCCCATATACGCCAAGAAAGCGGTGCATCACATTCTTAAGCCACTGCAGAACCGTATAACTAGATTCCTGTCTCTAGCAAATAGCTAGGAGCACCCCAGGAATAGCACCGACTCCTTTACTGGGCACACAAAGCGACCAGTAGCTTGTACAAAGTTCAATAGTTATTATTTTTGTTAATTTTTTTTAATATTTATTTTTTCTTTTCCTGAAGTGACTGTTCATATAGAATATAGATATGGAACTCCCCAGAAAAACGTCATATGGCCATGAAAGAATTAATAACATTTCTCCAAAATTACAACAAAACACATTTCCCAATTGCTGCTATAATACCTTCACTATCAGTAAATCCAGAGGGGTAGCCATACTGGTGGGGGCAACCGTTCCATTTACATATCATACTCATATTGCCGATACATAATCTTAAAAGGCCTTTTATGAACAAAAATCAATGTCCATGGTCCAATGTCATGCTCAGGGTATATTAGTAGTAGGTGGGGACTTTAATATATCCATGGACACAGAAAGGGACAGCACTGCACTCAATTCCTCTCACCTAGCATCAGCCAGAACTCTTAAAAGACAATCAACTTATTGATTGCTGGAGGATACTTAACCCAACCACCAAAGACTACACATTCTTCTTAGCTCCTAACTCAACTAAAACGTGAATTGACTTCTTCTTAGTGGCACATAAAGATCTAACACTAGTGGAAAATTCCAAAATAGGTAGTATCATATGGTCGGACCATGCCCCTATTACCATTGACATACACATTCTGAATTTACCAATCACATAATATAATTGTAAATTAACGCAATCTATCCTGCAGAATAACTCGATTAAACAAGCTATTTCCACATCTATTACACAATATTTTCAGGAAAACAAAACACCAGACACCACTCCTCTCACGCAATGGGAAGCACATAAATGTGTCCTACGAGGAGAATTGGTAAAATACTCCTTACAAGTATTAAAGAATTAAAAGACAAACACAAACACTATATCTGATGAAGATTACTGCAAACTCATTTTAACAAAACACTACCCTATGCCTGGGAACATCTGCTATTACCGGCCCTTTAAGAGCCAGCCAGGCACCTACACAGGTACAGAGACATGGGATTATAACAATATATTGTGTATCCAGTGAAAGGATACCAAACTGGATATAAATTGAAAATGCTTACCTGCTTTTGTGGAGATTCTTCTTTAAAACAGTTTGTGTCTTTTAAAACATTTGCTTAATTGTGAGACCCATACGGTAGAGACCTAGCATTCATCATACGAATGCAAACTACCGAACACCGGACCACCCTGCTACCTGATTAAGTGGTAATTTACCCCCCTGATCGGCACCTCCAGTCTTTAGGAGAAACGCACGAACGCTTTGTTTAAGTTCCTGGGTGGCCATTTCGGGACTTTTACACGTGTTCACGGCCATCTTAACTCTCGAACAGTGGTGTTTTGCCGTCGAGTGTCTGGAACTAAAATCGGACACTCGAGTAGGCGAACATTGCTGAGACCTCCATAGCACCGTAAATTCGTGCCAAAACTACCGACCGCCATGCCATTCGGTAGAAAGACTATGCAGCATATGGGAATTCTGACAAACATCAAGATACCCACGGATGGCAAGCTTTTCATGACTTTTTAACGCACGAACGACGACCCAGGACTCATGGAACTATTTTCGGCTAGTGTGCCTGTGCGGTCGGTCAAAACTTTAAAGCTTCATACCTCCCGAACCCGTTAACCAAATGGGATGATTTTTACATATGTTGCTCCCCCAGATCAGGGCTATCTAGGGATACTGGATTTATGCATGTACCCCATATATTTGGGGTACATCCAAAACTAGGGTAAAAATGTATCCTTGTTAATTATGTTAAAGGTTATCTGAGGGGAGGAGATGTGTGGGTTATACCTTATCTGTTATTGGTTACTATGTTAATTATGTAGGTGTCTCCCTTGCATGAGCAGCATCACATAAAAGGACCCTTGACCTTGACCCTTCAAAACATAGCCTTGTCTCGTTCTTGGAAGGGGATTTACAGCATAACCACCTCGCTCTTTTAATAGCTCTGCAGGGCTCTTCACTTGGATCTCATGAATGGGAATAAGCAACTCCACTACTACACAGTGACTTGCCGGGAAAAAGGACGTCTCCAACGGCTGATACCCTCTCACTACCTGGGTAGCCGTTACACTCATATCCCTTGGGACTGACCTTAAGATACTTCTGAACGACAAAACTAAAAACCAAAAAACTATTCTACTCTCAGGGAGACAGGTGTGGGAAGTTACTAGCTGCAGCTTTGAAAAAGCAACAACAAAAGGCATACACCCCCAATATCAGGAACAACAGAGGGGAAGTGGTGCATAAAGCTGACGAAATAGCTGACGCATTTAGAGACTTTTACTGTTCACTATATAACCTATGCCGCAAACAACCAACCGAGGAAGAGATTGTACTATATTTGACTAGGCAACTCAACTGTAAGATACCCTTGGATATGCCCCAATCTTTTGATGCACCATTTAAAGAGGAAGAATTATCTAAAGCCATTCGCTTGACCCCTACTAATAAAGCAACTGGCCCGGATGGCTTTCCTTTTTTCTACTACAAAACTTATGCAAAAGAACTGTCATCCCACTTTTTGGAAGCACTTAATTCCATCTCCCCCTCTCATTTCATCCCCAACTCAGGTCTCGAGGCAACCATCATATTAATCCCAAAACCTGGGAAAAACCTACCCATATCACTGATCAATGTTGACATGAAGTTATTTACTAAAATGCTGGTGATCTGAATAGGACCGCTTTTACAGGGGCTAGCCCACCCTGATCAGGCTGGGTTTATCCCCGCCAGAGAAGCAAAAGATAATACAACAAAAATTATTATACTAGCTCACTGGTCTCGCTTGTCGGATGAACCATCTGTTATGTTAGCAATAGATGCAGAGAAAGCCTTTGACAGGGTGGACTGGTCATTTCTCGTGTCGTCACTGGAGACCTTAGGTTTTGGCCCTAAATGGATGTCCTGGATCCAGGCCATATACTCAAGACCAATGGTTAGGATCAAACTGAATGGTATCCTTTCACGACCTATGCCGATTTCCAATGGTACGCATAAGTGGTGCCCCTTGTCACCATTACTATTTATACTTGTACTAGAACTCCTCCTCCAAGCAGTACGCAAAAACAAAGAGATAACAGGAATGACGGTAGTTGGGAGGGAGTTTAAAGTGTCTGCTTTTTCGGATGACCTTCTATTTACCATAAGTAAACAGACACAGTCCCTTCCACACCTTATGACAGAGATCACAACATACAGCAACCTCTCAAATTTCTAAATAAATGCAGAAAAATGCGTGATCCTTAACCTAACTGTTAAAAAGGGAGTGGCGAGATCCCTACAGGGGACATATCCATTTCAATGGACAGACAAGTCCATCAAATATTTAAGCGTACAGGTAACCCCATCCCCAAAAGACTGATATGAGGCTGATAGACTCCATGGCATCAGATCTGAAATTGAGGGACAAACCC